CCAACTCAGCCTGTTGTCGGCAGGCGACAGGCAAGCCGCCCAGACAGAAGCGCGAAGCCCAGACAAGACATCGACGTCCGTCCAAACGAAAAGTCAACAGGGTTGCCATAATGAAAAAAGAAGTCTGCGACTCACCATATGAAATGAACACATTTTCATACGATCGTTACGATGGCGCACAATAGGACTGACGAGGAGACGCCAAACAGATACACAAGTCCAGAGGACAGCACTAGAGACTCTCTTGCGTTAAGTAAGAGTCGAAGATATAACTGAAGCGGGTCGGGCCGAACCACGCCCCTTAGCTGTGATATAATGAGCATATACCACGGCCTGTCGTGAGCTATTGCTTAATTATACTCCACCTTGGTTTAACAGTGGTTTTACAACCGTCTTACGATTTTCATTTGCAGGAAAGCCTTTAAGAGGACACATTTTTAAGATCTTTAAGATGGAAAATGTTTTCTTATTGGACAAGTACTTCATTATTCAGAATACTAAATATGATTTTATTAGCACCTCAACTATGATTTGCTGTTCTTTGATATCAGATCTGACTGTCTTTAGTTTTTGAGATTGTTTTTCAGACAAATATGTAGTTTGAAGACATCAATTACTACGTTTTAACAATTTTTTGACCAAAAAATAAGGATTAATTGCTAAATAAAGATGAAAACAATGATTAAGTAAAGGATTTGACTACTTCCTCCAACACTGGTTCTTCAGTTAGCGTTCTGTTTCTGACGCTCCCTGGTTTGTAAGAAGTCTAAGATCCCATTAGAGTGCCTGCAGAGCACACTGCCACTTGCTGCATTCCTCCAGGAGTCTGCCCACAGTTTACATTCCTCTCCCTGACAAGGCTGCTGACCGGTGACATGAGCCTGAGAAACACCAGTTTTACTGGATCCAGACCCTCATGCACTCACAAACTAAACACACTAACTGGAGGGGGAGGGGGGATTAAACACACACTCTTCACTTTCACAATACGTGCTGACATGTTGTTAGAAATCTTATCTGTATTGTTTCAAGATAAGATTTTCTCAGGCGGATGAGAAAGAAAATGGTTGACATGCACAAGGTGAAATGTGGGATCTCTGTGTGTGGGAGGCCCCTCAGAGAAACCCCTCAGAGAAACCCCTGTGAGATCCAACAGTCCCCCCATTAATCAAGACAGGAAGTTGAATTTCCTGTCCGGCAGGAAGAACCCCCCCCCCAGAACATACCCCTGATAGCTCAACCCTTCAACGCTGTGAATCCTCCGGGTGCTGTTAGCTTATGCATAGCTTGGCTGAAACAGTCTAGTGTTTTGTGTGGGAAGTGTGTATGTGTGGTCGAGTGTGTTAAAAACAATGTACCTACAAGTCGCAGTCGCCTGGCAACACAGCATTAACCGTAACTCAGTCATGCAAGTGTGCACACACACAGAGGAGATGTTTTCCAGTGCATTTAAAATTAGCTGCAGATGTCCTTACAATGCACTGTTTGTGCCGACTATCAATATATGTCACGGTTATTAATCATGTCCAGATTTAGAAGCACGTAGAAAATATTAGTGAAAGCATCATTCGCTACAGTATACGTCAGAATAAGAAATTCTCTTTTGTCTCACAGTGAGGACAGTGTGGGAGAGTAAACTAGTTGGGATTTGAGCCTTTGCAGACCATTTACATGCACATAAACCTATAAAAAGCTATATCCCTGAACAAAGATACACATTCTCCCAAGTAAATCTTAGAGGAAACGTCTGGTGTTTCTCTTGTTTTCCTTTGTAAACAACTCCCAGGAACAGACTAAACCCAGCACTGTGTGTTAGTCTGTCCCTCAATACTTAATGACTTCCCCTCTGCCTGTGGCACTCGCTCAGCACAGAGAACATTGGTTACTACTGAGGAAGGAAATCATTAAAGGAAACATTATTTTTATGACTTTGTCTAAATATTTTGACTTTATTCTGAAAGCTGCAATCTTTGTGTGGCTTTAAACCTCTTGCGTGATACA